AAAATATTGCCGTTATCTCTAGGTAGATATAAAGTTAATCATTGATTGACTCATACAGTAAGGACATCAAACATTCCTTGGAAAAAGAAAGTAACGCTAAAAATTTCAGAGGAATATAAATATTATAATGTAATTTTAATTACCAATATAAACTCAAAATTAATTTATCTAGCTTAGTTCAAATTTTCTTCTCTCATTAGCTCAGTGTAATTAAGATTTTTTTCTCCGGAAAAAGTAATATTCAATTGTTTTTTTTTCTTCATAAAAAGCTTTGTTTTTCCTTTGTTGTGCAATTTATCTAACTTGGCTCAAATTTTTAATACTTTTCTTCTTTCATTACTCCAGTAAAATTAAGACTTTTTCTCCGGAAAAATTAATATCCTATTTTTGTTTTCGTAAAAAGCTTTATGTCCTTACAAAGGATACCAAAAACTCCTCTGGTTTAGATAGCAATGTTATATGCATAAATACGTACAAAAATGTACCTTTTGTACGTAAAACCCTTATAAATTCTAAACTATTTGTTCAATCTTTTCGAGATTAATTTATTAGCTACGTTAAAATCTGCGTAAAAAAATATATATTAGATGTAATGCTTTGCCTGTCCAGAGAAAGTCTCATACCCCTCCCCCTTCAAAAAATTCCCCTTTTGTCCCTCAAAAAAGTGGGAAGCGAGGAGTTTTTAAAATATTTTGGTATTTTATATATTTATAATTTTTGCCCTTATTTTAGCCGTGATTACTGGACTGCTATTCCCATTCAGCGTTGACTACAATTAGGCAATATATTATAGTTATATATTGATATTTTTAAATATTGCGATAACGATATTTTAAAAAGTATTCTCACCTTATCTCGTGAATAACATGTCTGAAGAAAAATTTCGAAGATAAATGTCTGAAGATGAGTTAGTTGAAGACCTGAATGAGCTAAAAAACATTTCAGTACTTTTTGCGTTATGGTACTTCATTTCTTGACTTAGTTTTTTTTCTTCTTTTTTCAAAGGTTTATTACAACCATTATCCATTTTTCATCGATGTTTTATTTTAAAAGGTTTATTACGACCATTATCCAATTTTCATCGATGTTTCTTTTTAAAAGTTTATTACAACCATTATCAACTTTTCATCGATGTTTTTTAAAAAGGTTTATTACAACCGTTATCCACTTTTCATCGATGTTTTTTTTTAAAGGTTTATTACCGTTATCCACTTTACATCGATGTGACAGCAATAATAACGTAGTAATTATCTGCAACGGCGACATTTAAGTGACAGATTTTTATTTCCCCCCCATCCAGATGCTGTACGAATGCATTTATGAAACCGAGACCTGACTCGAACGAGTGAAATTAGTGAGTTACTAGTAACTTCCCAATTTATTGCGGTGAAGTTACTTGTAACTTCACAGAAAGAAAAAGACATCGGATTCAGTTACCAGATGTGGAAATCAAAGTTACCAGTCAGTCATTTGGTCTTTTTTTTTTACTAGTTAAAGGACTCATCAAACTACACCAAAATTTTTGATTAAATAGTATCAGCTTTTTAAATAAAAAATATATAGCTTTATTTTAGCACCCTAGAAAGATTTTTTTTCAACAAGAAATCAGCTTTTTACCTGGATTACAGTAGCTACAATTTTTGAAATCTAACAACATTTGGTTATTTAACATTCTTTTTAATAATAATTTTGTGAAAAAAAACTAGTTTTTAAAAAATTATCATAGCTACTTCTATGTAATAGAATTTTAATAGTTTGAAATTAATTTCTAAAGCAAGAAAAAGTACATACCGATAATTTTTACAAATCAGATAAAAATCCTTGTTGTTGACTCCATGAAAAATCTACCAAAGAATATTTTTGTTTCGTTTGATTTCGTTAAACACTGCCTTTCAGAAAAGCACAGATTGCATCTTATATGGCATACATAATCTATGTTAGATTCAGAACTTCTAATAGACACCCTCTTATTACACAACAAAACAGAGGCATAATAAAAATGAATTCATTCAATAATAATCACAAATCCTTTTATTAGTTCTCACTGAATTGGCAGTCAATATACTGATTAGTTACAAAAAATTTAGAGCGTCACATATTCAAAGATACAATAAATACTTTTCTGCATTCACAGCATAGCAAACACTTATGAAACTTTAAATAGTTATTTAGGTATCATTCTTAAATAAATTCACAACCATTATGAAAATAAATCTTAAGTAAGATTTAAAATATCATTTACACACTGATTTAAATTTCTAATTATCTAAAACAAGACATTAAAACTTGTAAAATGCCATAAGTAATCAGTGAATATATCACTGCTTTAAAAGATCTAGTATAGAAAAATACTTATGTTCAATCAGTTTTAGAAGCTCGGAATATAAATTGCACTTAAATTATTAGCATATTTGTATCGCTATATAAAAAGTGCTAAATTTAAATAATTGAAAAGATACTTCTCATAATGCATGCGTATCGATCGCAATTTGTATAAAAAAAATGAATGAAAATTCACTGGAGATTTTTAAAAATAGCTTAAACAAGCTTTTACCATCAACAAGTTCCAGTTTCGTTAATTGGCAACACTTAAAAAATAAACTGCACTTAAATTAACCAAAACCTTTAAATATAATTATTCTAAACATAACAATTTTTTTTAAAAAACATACAGAATATCTTAAAATGTAAGTCTTATGCATAATAATTAAAGTTCATGTAATATACAAATTACCCTGTGTTCAATCAATTCTGGAAGTTCAATATATTGAACATTGTAATTAATACTAATTTCACAGTAGGAAAGTCACTAAATATAAATAATTAAAAGGAAGCCTTAAATAATGCAGGAGTTATAAGGAATACAAAGTAATTCATTTAAAATATATTCTTAGTCCAAATGTTTAAAATTAGTATTGGAAATACTTTAACTGGTGCATTTAAAAGAAACTTACCAAAATTGTTAAAACAATTCCTTGAAATAAACGAAAATTTATAAAAACTACTCGACCGATTTTGGAAGTTCAACAGCACTGTAATTCATTTAAAATATATTTATAGTCCTAATGTTTAAAATTAGTATTGGTAATACTTTAACTGATGCATTAAAAAAAACTTACCAAAACAATTAAAACAATTCCTTGAATAAAGCGAAAATTTATCAAAACTACTGAAGTTTTTATTCTAGGTATTGTTACTAGAGATCAAACAAAATACATTGAATGTTCGACCGATTTTGGAAGTTCAACAGCGCTGTAATTCATTTAAAATATATTTATAGTTCAAATGTTTAAAATTAGTATTGGCAATACTTTAACTAGTGCATTTTAAAAAAATTTAACTATTAAAACAATTCCTTGAAATAAACGAAAATTTATCAAAACTACTGAAGATTTCATTCTAGGTATTGTTACTAGAGATCAAACAAAATACATCGAATGTTCGACCGGTTTTGAGAGTTCAACAGCACTGAGAGCTTCCCTTAGTATATTCGGACTATCCATCTGTTTCTGTTTAGCATCGTCTGAGAGTGTTGCCAATCGTAGTCTTGTACGATAAGCAGCTAAATCGGCGTAGGCAACAGGCACAGGAATCGATATGCTTTTAGAACATCGGAATGATATGTTGCACGAATAATATGTAAGCTTCTGAAAATCTTCTGCTGAAAAATCACTGTCGTCTGCCAGGACGGTATAATGAGCTGGTCTGCTTGTTCCTAAAAATTATAGCAATTAGAAACTATTAATAACGAATTAAAAATGTGTTAATCTCATATGGAAAATAAATTAAAAGCTCAAACACGTGACAGAAGATTTGAAAAACCCAAGAGAATGATATAAAAAATGAAGGATGGTGTTCCAAAAATTGAGAGGAAGGAAATAGAAGACAGAAATATACGATTGGCTGCTTTTACGCTCAGTAAACGACACTTTTTATAAGGGATGCAACGAATATTCGGCAGCTATTTTGTATTCGGCTAGTTTGCCGAATATTCGGTTGGCCACACATTTGGCCAAATGTTAGGAAAAGTATTTTTTGATAGTTTCTTCTTTTTTTTGGGAGGGGGGGGGGATTAGAATTGATTTAATAAAACCAGGGTTGGCAAGTTTTTGATACATGGCAGTTTTTACCGGTTTATATACCATGGTTTTTACCGTCATGTCAAAAAACCCTCTGTCAAAAACCCATAGTTTTGGTAAAACTGTATTTTTATTTGAGTTTAACTGCTTATAATTTAAAATTAATTCATTTTTGGGCAATAAAATTAGAAAAAAAGTTGTTAAAAGATATTTCAGAACAGATTCGTGAATTTTCCCAACATGATATCAAAACATACTATTTGAAGTTAAATATTAGGATACTAAACAAAATTTTCAACATTTCCAAGCATCATTTTGTTTGGCATATTACATTACAGATGAATGTCAAGTCATTCCTGACTTAGAGTTTGTTAGTAGTTACAAGTTTTGAAAGTTTTGTTTAGCTTATTTCTAATATTTAAGAAATGCCAAAATTAAATTCTTCTTTTTAGTTCTTGAATTTATTAATAGTTCCAAGCTTTTTTGTTTGTTTGTTTATTTCTAACAATTAAGAAGTGCAAAATTTTGAATCCTTTGCATATCAAGCTATAATGATAAAATTAAGTATCACTATTTTCAATAAGTATATTACAATATTTCTATATGAATGTACATCCTTCTATAAGAATACATGTATATAGTTGCAAAATTAATAGCAATCATTTACAACATTCATTTATAAAGCCAATTATGTGAAAATAATATATTGTCCGCTATATGCCATAAATTAAAGAAAACAGTAGGTTTTTGACGGTTTTTAAAACAAGGTTTTTACCTCTGTCATGTCAAAAACCAGTTATTGACGGCAAAAACTCAACCCTGAATAAAACGTTATCTAAAATTGTATTATTTACTATAGGAAATAGTTTTTACACGTATTAAGTTCTAAATTTCGATAATTTATGTTCTGAAAGACAAATGAAAGAGCGAAATTTGACGAATTGAAACTAGATTACTTTATACTGAACCTCGAGTTTTGTAGTACTAATTTTTTTTTATATTCAAGCGCTGTTTGAATATTTTGAATTTTGTCGTTTTATGAAAACTTTTTGTTTTAAGAATTGTTTGCTTTATTAAACATATTTTTTTCTTCGTTTTTATAACAGAGCAGGATTAAAACGGGGCTCTAACAGACTTAATTCTCTTATTATCAATTTTTTCCTGGTACGGTAAAACAGATAACCGGTAACATGAAAAAACTGTGATTTTCAACGTTAAAGTTATATTTTAAAAATTAAGAATTTTTTTTTTCTTAACCTTTTTTTTTATCAACGATTTATTATGGGGCAGCATTTTTTTTTAGAAGTTTGTTTAAACGTTATTTTTTTATCGTTCGTTAAAAAAAAAAAAAAAAATACAGCAAAGTGAAAAATTTAAATTGAGATTTTGAGAGCTGAATTTTTTGTTTAAAAATCAATAGCGATTCTTGTTTTGATTTATTCTAGCTTTTCCTTTTTCAAAAAAACTTTTGTTCTTATTATGACATTGCAATTAAGAGGGTTTCTATTAAATTTATTTTTTTTTCCTTCGCTTTTTCTTGAAAATACGATGCGTGGAAAACTGAAATGCTCAGTTTTAAACTTTCTGCCTAAAAATTAAAATCCTTTTTTGTTTCATTTTTGTATCTAATCTCTTTTAAGGGCATTTTCATAATAGCTCGTAATTTAGAAGCTTTTCCTATAGCCTATATCACTTTTAGCATTTTATGAATACTATTTTTCCGAAAAATATTATTTTTAGTATTAAAATTTTGTTTTAATAATTAGAAGTATTTTCTTTTTCTATTTCTCTTTTTTTCAACTTTACAGTTTTATTTATTTTTTTATAGTTGTTAGTCTTTTATTTGTCTTGAATATTTCTAATGGATAGCTATAACAGTTTTCACCCTTAAACCAATAACAATAATTTAGCTAAGCTTTGATTATTTTTTAATAATGACTAAACTTATTGATAAATAAATAATTATTAATGTTTTTTTTAAACAAAATATATTGTTATACGGTTGATTTTTTTGACTAAATACTCGGCTAAATCAGGAATCTCGGCTTAGATCCCTTATTTCTATCCGAGATGCAAATTTAATCACCAAGTTCGTTACAAGAGGGCGTAAATAACATACCTTTCAATCCTAAATGACTGCAAAGATAGAAATCTCGGTGCACTGGATGCACAATCTCAGTATCCACAACTGTTCCTGGTGGTACATTTCCTTCCGGTCTAGCTCCATCCCTATGATCTTCTGGTCTGAAACGGACATGATGTCTCTTTTGAACTACGACAAACGTAATCGCTGGTTGATAACTCTTACTTATCTCTTTACATGCATCTCTTATAGCTGTTAATTCCTTTTCTAGAACTTCTGAAAAATGACCATCGCTCACTCCATCTCTATAAAAGATTATCTTTTCCGGCCACTTACCTAGAGTTTTGTCATGAAAAGTAATTAATAAAGACTTGACCATGTCTTTTAAATTGATGATTGTCTCGACCGATTTCTTCTTAGCATTAACGTTCTTCTGCAGCTTGCATGTAACAGCAAAACGCGACAGTATCATATCTAGACTCCCTGCAACAGCTGCTACTGATATTCCACTTTTGTCTGTCACTCCTGCGTGGGATACATCAGCTCCTATTATCATAACAGGCTGAGCCATTATCTTTGGAATTTCTCCTTGCGTTAAAACGTGGTTAATTCCACCAGTTTTAGCATTGATTTTTAGACATAAATTGCCTAAAAGAGAAGGATTGCATTTTCTCGCATTGTTATGGTCGATGCACTGCGTCTGAAGACCGAGTTCAACTTCGGCTATTTGCTTGACATTTCTGTATATCGTTTTGTCTTTAAAAGGTATCACAACCACAACCAGCTGAATTTGCTTTTTTCGTGCATCAGTAAGTGTTCTGAGAAGATTATCATATCTAAAACCATCGATGCTTTTAATATCAGAAGGTTGTCCAAGATTTAAACCGGCTGCTCCACCAATTCTTTGCAACTGATCGGAAAAGTTTTTCAAATCATTAAATCTGCAATGCCGCTCAGCAAGATTAAGCAAAATCCAAGATTTAATATTGGAGGGTCTATAAAACTGCAAATCTCTAATGTTCCATGATCCATCTCTGGGTTGAATTTTTCTATTTCCATAATTTAGGTTTGGAGCTTGCATAGTGCGCCCAGACAAACGCACAGGATCTCGTTCTACGCCAATGCCGAAATTTTTTAAATATTCATCTCCATCGTAATTGGCCCACTTATTTCTGATGTTAACTATTTTGCGAAACCTATTTTCGGGATTATCAGCAGTAAATTTAATCATTTCCCGCTTATCATTATCGCTCAGCTCCTTTCTGCAGTGCTGCCCTTCCGGAATGTAACAAACTTCAATCGGTAAATATCTATTCTTATTTTTTGGTTTCACTTGTACACATGGTAAGAAGGGAAAGTCCAGTTTCTTATTGTAGCGTTCCAAAAAGTATTGATCAATTGAAAGAATTCTTTTTGTCCCGTCTTTAGCTACATCTTCAAATGTTATGTCTCGAGCGTTTTTGTGAGAAACGTCAATTATACAATGGGTCACTTTAACAACATTCGGTATGTGGTATGTTTCGATTTTCAAATTTTTCACTTCACTTCGCAATTTTTGGAGTTCATGATTTCCAATTGTAGGCCTACGAGATAATTCTTCTGTTGAAACTCCAAGGGACTTCGCCATGAACTCAATTAGCGGCTGTTTACTAAAGAACGTTGTGGCGCTGGTATTTAAATTGGTCATGATTTTCCATTGTCCCAAACGAAGACTTTGATGGTATCCAAACCAGATTTCTATACCACCAGATAGAGGGCATATATTATTGATATCTTTATGGAAGAAATTACGTCCTATTGGTATGTACCTCAAGGCAGGTGAATGTCGAAATATTGTCTCTAAAGCCATCACTGCTGCTTGGATGTCTTCAATGTTAAGCTTTCTATTTCGGAAAAGCTCATGCAAAACTGATAGACTTATGGCACAATTTTTTGATTTCTGCCCATGAGCGTTTTTCTTTTCAACTGGTTTTATTTGTATTTTAAAAACATCTCTATTCGATCTCGGACTTTCTTCCTCAGAGGCGGCTCCCTTCTTCGCCTCTTTCTTATATTCATCATCAATTGAAACTTCTTTTGTGTACGGAAATTTTAATGCCAAAGGAGACGGCGTATACATGTTGCTTTCGCCATCGTATACAGCGTAAGTTTTGTAGAAATTCTTGTCTTTTTCTAGCATTTTAGCAATTACTTTACGGTTGACTTTAGTAGTCAGACATCGATACCTCTGTACACCCTTAGCTGGAGTTAACATACTTAACTCTGAAGATCTATCACGTCTGCATTCAACAATTTTGACATCATAATGATACACATCATTATCCGGCAGTAATTTAAGAGGAAATAAATTACATACCAGTCTGATGGGTCTCCCAAGTGTTCCTGGTTTTTGCTTGACTGGGAGTCCATCTGTAATAACCATCCGGTTTGAAACATCTGTTCCGATATCAACTTTATCATCGAACTCAGAAGCTAGAGATTCTACATCTGGTATGTTTTTCGACCTTTCTTTCGTCACTTCGGTTCTTTCTCTGGGAGTAACTGATTTAACAATTGCACTCGAAGTGATACTGGGATCTTGAGCATTTTCCTCTTTTTCGGGTATATAACGGGCTGAGGCTGTTCCAGATGAAGTAGAGGCGTAGATATTTTCAGGACGCTTTTGAGCTTCAACTACTTTTTCTTTTTTTCGAATTTGTCCAGAAGTGCTGGCAGATGCAGAACTAGGCCGGACGACTTCACCAATTTGCTCAGGAGGGCGGCTTGATGGACCTATGATATTAGAAATCGTTATTTTTATATTCACTAGTCATTTTATTATTATTAAAAAAAACTCTGAGGGATATTTTTCATAGTAAATTATCTCAAAAGCAATCGTAAAACAGGGTGCGTAGCCTAATTATTCAACAAAAATTAAGCACTTTAAAGAATACCATAATTAGGCAGGGTTGGAAAGTTTTTGACAATTTACGGTTTTAACCGTCATGTCAAAAAAAAACTTTTGGCATTGTTTTTGACAATTGTCAAAAATCATGAAATTTTGAATCATGTACAAGGAATGGAGTTTTCATACGCTACGGACTGACAATGCGCCGAAATAGATTGGGGTTGAATTAATTGTGAAAACGTTGAATAGAACAATGTGAACTCTGTCTTTTTGCATAATTAGAAGCGAAAATCAACATAGTAAAGGAAAAATCTCATTTTGAAAAAGGGAAAATTAAGTATTTTTTAAAAACACCCAATGAAAAAAGCACCTTTACGGGATTTTAAAAAACGAAAATAAACATCTTTAACACTAGAAAGACGGAAAATTAGTTATATACCTACATTGCCCAAAAGCAGTCAAAATGACTGGATTGTGAATGCGTAAATAATTTTCTTTTAAATAATTAATTTGTAACATTTTTAATATTATTTATATAGTTACATAACAAGTTATTAGTAAATAATGACAGTAAAAAAATTATTATTGTACAAAAAGTCACAAAATTCTAAGAAATTGTGTCATTACAGAGATGGCAACTGCTCCGGACATACCAGAAAAATTAAAAAAAAACGGTAAATAACTACAAAGTAAATTTTGTAAACATTTGACTATTTTTGCTTGCTTTTTAAAAGATATAGCATAACATAACTACTATAAAGTAGTAAATTATATAAGCCTACGAATTATTTAGAAATAGTGGTGGATAAAAATCTACTTAATTGAATTTATTAAACCAAGAATCACAATTGATAAAATACCACTATAAAATATATATTTGCTGTTCGGAGCAAGTTGGCAACTCTGTCATTATGTACATCATTGTTTTTCTAATTGAAATTAAAAGCAGTCAAAATGACTTCCTTAGGCAACCTGGTGTTAAGCACTTTTTAAAAACGCTACACACCCTGATGACCCATCTAAGTCAAAGGGTTAATTACGAAGGGACAAGATTGCACCGGTCTGTTGTTGTTAGTAATGCCCTTTGCCAAAATCAGCAAGCCTGCTATGGGAATCCAATCTTGTTTTTCACTGGCGTCACCTATCACCAAGAATACGACTTAAGCCACACACACGTCATAGCCCGTTTTACAGGAAGGACTCAATCATGCCTCATTCATTCATCTACAGATCGTAATTTAGACCTGGTAGGTATTGATTTGTTATGGGAACTTGGAGACTTTGTGACCCCGTCAGATTTAACGTGTACCAGTCACCATTCAATACACCATTTAATTAACCAGTTACCAAGTGAAATTGTCCAAATGATAATGAGAGAACCAGAAGAGCAGTCAGAAAATTATGACTATGTTAAATCTCTTTTGCTTAAGTGCTACAGACTAAGTCCTGAAAAATTTAGACAACTTTTTTATTCTCATGAGAATACTGATGGAAAGTCATGGAAAGAATATTACCACGAGCTTGAAACGTATTTTAATGGGTGGACTGCAGGACTTAAAATAAGTAGTTTTGAGAGTTTAAAAGACCTGATCATCACAGATCGAATGAAAGCTCGGGTGCCGCCAGATATACGAGAACGTTACTTGGATCAGTGGACCCATATAATTTCACCTTATACATTAGCTGAAAAGGTAGATGAATTTATTGAACTCAAAGATGTTTTTAAGAATCATATTCAGTATAATAATAAATATAGTAACAATAAGTTTTTGAAAGAAGAAAATATCGCCAAGGGCAAACAAACAGAGCCAAGTCGAAGTACAACTAATAATCAAACTGTTTGCTACAATTGTTATGATACCGGCCATTTTGCCCGTGATTGTGTAAATCCAAAACGTCCAAAGTTTTGTACTGCCTGCAAAACAGAAGGACATGGTACAAAGGAATGTCCAAAGATAGCGTCTTTCCCATTAGTCAATGCAGTTTCGTTTTCACCCAGTTCCAGTAATAGTACAACGAAGAATATTATCATAGAAGAAGTAAATACAAGTGCTCTTATGGATACCGCTGCTGATATATCTATGTTAAAATATAGTTTTGCACAAACGCTTAATAAAAATATTCATAAAAATATAGTTACACGAATTCG